ATTTATTATTGTGTTGACTTTGTTTATATAAGGTGTAATGTATACTACTTCCGGTCTTTAATATAAGATTTTGTTTGACTTTTATTTTGGTTGTAAATATAAGACCCCAGTCCACTTTGTCTCTCATATTTATACATTTTTCCCCCAAAGCAGTCCTTCCAACAATGGTAGTTCTAGCCAGTACACTTGATTAGCAAGGATATTTTATGAAAGACAACACTTATTTAAGACAAATAAGTAACTCAACTTACTTCCTTAATCTCCTCAAATTAATCAATTAGCTCCTATAATTAGAACCGGAGGCAGTAGTAAATAAGGATAAAGTTGAAAAGTTATTAAATTTTAAATGAAAGTTAATAAAGTTTAAGATTTTTCTTGGTCTGTGTGAAATATACTAGAAGTACCTTATAAATAATATCAGATGAGTATGATTCTTAATATAAGAGTTAGATAGAAAATGAGTTAAGTTGGTTGTCATTAACAAATGTGTGTTGACTTCTCTAACTCATCCTATTTAATCATGTATGTTGAATTACCCTTTAGTGAAAACTCCTTATAATTAATATGAATATTTTGAAAAAAAAACATTATAGATTGGGAAAATAAAATAAATTGAGATCTTATATTAAGCACTAAATTTAACTCTAAACTGATTCTTATATTTAGGATCAGATGTAATAATCACAACTTCGTGAAGGTAATTCAAGGTATTAATTACGGGTAAAATTTTTTTTCATTTTTAAATGACTTCAACATTTCTCTTGATTTTGGTGAGATAAGGTGTTGAAATATTTTCAAAATGAATGGTGTGTCTCTTAAACAGCCATGTTCTATCCCTATAGATTGAGGAATTTATGGGAAGAAAAGTGTAGGGAGTTATGATAAATAACTTTTGAATACTAAAGATACGTTGGTTCACTAACTTTCAAATGAAAATGTATTGTTTTGAGATGGACCTTTTCAAAACATCATTTTATAGTGTACATAAACCTCTTATTATTATCACCCCCTTTGGTAAACAATAAGAGGAACAAACGCATTGCCTTTGCTTTTAAATGTTTGTAAAGATAAAATCAAATTATTTTATAAAAATTATTATTGTCTTGGTTTGGATATTATGAGTGCAATCCATATTTAAAAGTTTTTATTATATCTTACTCCTCTTATCCTTAATATAAGACCCATTTAATTAATTTGATTAGATTAAAAAAAATAGGTAAATTAATTAATTATAAGAAATATGACACGTTTTTTCTAAAATACTATAATCATCTTTCTTAATACTCTATCTTCCTCTTCTACTTGATTATTGTTGAAGAAATATCCATGGGGTAATTTAGAGAAAATTAATAAATATGAGAAATGAGTCTTGCATTTAGGATCAAAACTAACTCAACAATTGAGTCATATATTAAGGACCGGAAGAGTATAAGAAATTTGTTGATTATATTAACCCAACTTACATTATAAGAAATATGCGATGGTGAATTAAGCCTTAAAAGAAAGAGTTGCCTCGTCTTGAAGACATTATACACTTTTTTTTTTTTTTTAAATCTTTTTCTCTCTTTGGAGAATTGTTCTCACCAACATAAGGTTACCTGTTACACTTAAATGAGGTCTTATACTAGGTATTGATACGTAATATGTGTGCTTACATTTAAAATGTGCTAAAAAATAACATATATCGTTTCATGTCAAAATACTTAGTTAAACTAGTTATATGTGAAAAATGTATTTTGATTTTTTAAAAATATTCCCTCTAATATTTTGCGTTGAAAACTTCTTCTACATGTACATTCAATAAAGATAGGCAAAAAAATTATAATATTAGGAGCTAAAGCATATCGATGAAAATAAAATGACATTGAGCCAAAAATCACATTGCAATATTCGAATCTGGCTTAAAAGTAGATATCACATGGTTGGATAAAAATATCAAGAATTACATGAAATTTCATGTAATTTACAATTTTTTATAAATTTTATAGAATGAATTAATTCATTGTTATTTATTATAATAAAATACAAAAAAATAATTAAATGCAATCTGGCAGATGTTCATAATTTTAAATTTTATTTGGCCAAAAATGATGTCGAATTTTATGACATAAATAAAAAGTGTAAAGAAGGGCATATGAAGAGAGCTTAGACATACTGATATTCTCTTGACATTTTTCTAGAAGCATCTATGGGGAATGATTTTGTAGGTGGAAAGACATAAATGATTTAAATTGGGTAATGTTCGTACAAAATAAGTACTCCCTCCGTTCTTTATTATAAGAGACAAATAACCGAATTACGTTGATCAAAAAAGCAGTTAAAATTAGTTAAGAACAATAAATGTGTAAAAAATATAATTTTTTTTTCAAAAATGCCCTCATTAATAAGGAGAGAGAGCATGAGAGAGAACAATTAAATTATTGAAAGAAAGAGAAGTGGGAGGGAGAGAGAGTGTGTGAATTGGAGACAATAAATATGGGTAAAATAGGAAATCAACACAAAAAAGTAGAGACAACTTTTAAGTGTTTCTTATATATAGGAACATGCCATAAGCATCAAATGTCTCTTACAATAAGGAACGGAGGGAGTATAAATTTGTCTGGAATTCCCAACACAGATCCTGTCATTAATATTTTCATTTTCCATTTTTGACCCATCACCTAGATTCTCACAAAATTATTCACCGTGCTAAATGTCAATGGCTGTTTTGTAATTTAGGCGGGACAACGAACATGATGACAACTAACCTTTTGCGACAAATCTGGATTAAAATTAAAACTTCAAATCCAGATGGATCCATATGAACGTGAACTTATTTTATTTCTTAATGCATTATATGATAACATGTTTGTTTGGCATTGATTGGAACATACTTTTCTATATTAATTGATTAATACTCTTTTCAGGTCTCTGATATAGTAATATACTAATATCTAATTAGGAAGTTAGATGAAAAAATCTCACAAAAACAACTATTAAATTTCAAAATTCTAAATTAAAAAATTACTATAAAAATGTGTTTTATTTATTTTTCAAGTATAGTTAATTTTCTTTATGAGTATAATAATCAATACTGAAGTGAAATTTTAAAATTTAACAGTTAATTTTTTTTGTGTGGAGATTTTTCCAAGTTGGACTTAGTTTTAAATGTATTACCAAGTCATTTTCACTCTCATGTTGAGAGTCACTTGTAAGTATATTTTATACAAATCAACATAAAAATTTTTTCACATACTTACCTTATATTTTATAAATCATGATTGAAAAGTTCCATATAAATCATTCCAAACAGACACCTTATCTTTTATATTTATCATTTTTTTAAAATTAATTTACCTAATCACATATATTTCATTCTATTAATGTTATAATTGATCACCTATATGGGTATCATATTATATAAAACCAACATGATTTATTATTATTATTATTTTTGATACTATCTCTGATCTTTAATATAAGAGTTTATTTGACTTTTATTTTGGTCATAAATACAAAATTCTAATCCACTTTGCCTCTTATATTTATTTATTTTTCTCAAGATAATCCTTATAATAATAGTATTTCTAGCTAATACACTTCATTAGCAGGGATATTTTAAGAAAGATAATATTTATTTATTACAAATAACTAATTTAACTAGTTTTTCTAATTTACTCAATTTAGTCAATTAGTTCTAATATTAAGGATCGAAAGTGGTATAATACAATTAAATAGGCACGTGGGCACTATCATGTTAATATTGAGTTCAAACCCAAGACATTATCCAAATGTGGTGGGTGGTGTTACTATTAGAACAACTAGCTATCATTATGATTTATTATGATTTATTCAGCATCTGTGGATTTAAAAATTGATATGAAATTAAATCTTTAATTGCTCACTATTTATTGATGTATTTTATTTTTAAATACATGAACACTGCATAATTCCATATCTATTATTCTCTTTTAGTTTTGCATATTCCTTCATATGACGTTTTCTATAGTTATATTACAACTGAAAAACATATAAAAAAGTATATAATTCCCTTTCCATCAAGGGTTTGTCAATCTCACTGGCCAAAAGAAAAGTGTCCAGTCATCATATATAAATAGTGAGCTGACAAACTTTTACCTTCTACCTTAAGAAAGCCTAAAATTCCTGTTTAAATAGTCCTTTTCAACAAACTTGTTGTGAGAGGGTATAAGGAAATTTTGGTTTTTAAATGATTTTTAAATGCTAAACTAAACCACTATAAATTAACTAGGCAGTCATACATAATTTACTCAATGGTAATTGTGAATGGATGTTTCAATAGTCAATACTGAATCTAGTAGATAGAAAATTAAAAAAAAAAAAATCGATAACAAATCTAAAATATAGGAAGTATTTTTTTTAACACAAGTCATCTTGTTAAATTTATTATACAAATATATAATTTTATTTCTAATTTATTATTTCTGCTGTTATTTTCTTAAAAAGTGTATATTTATATTAAACAAAGACAAAATGAAAAATTCATTAAATTTTAAAAAACAATTAATAGAGTATAAGATTTTTCTATTCTAATAAAATATATTAAAAATGGCTTATAAATAGAACAAGGATTAAGAAGAGTATTTAAAATTTACAATTACATTTATCTTTTTCTAATTTTTGGTAGGTTTTTACCAGAAGAAACGTAACAGAAAATCATGAACAGTAAACAAATCAGAATATTTGGCGTGTATAATCAACCAAAAAAAAAATTGTACTAAAAAATTCAGGAGGAGCAGCAAATTAAAAAAAAAAAAAATTGAAAGGAACTCTGTAAATCCGTACCAAATATGAATGAAGAAGCTTAAAAGGAGAAAACTGAGAACTCACTGAAAATAATAAAGGTGAGAAGCAGTACGTGGCATTGGTTAGGTGTAAAAAAGAGAAAAGGCTAGAAGTTGTAGAAGAAGAGGTTTGGCGAAGAGAGAGAGAGAGATAGAGAGAGAGAGAGGAGTGTGAATTCAATGTGGTGAATGAGCAGGCAAACCCAAAGGATTCGTGGTTTACCGCTCGTTTCTCTCACTGTCAAATTCTCAGCCTGCGATTTTCTCGTTCATCGTGCCCCTGCCTGCCTTCTCCCTCCCTCTTCTTTCTCTCTCTTCCAATGCCATCGTCGCCTCTCCGTTTCGACAAAACACACAGCTAATCTCCCGCTTGCGATTTTTCCCCCCTTTTACGAGCCCTAAAGGTTTTGCTCCCAATCGGACCTTCTTTTTTTCCTTTTGATTTCTGCGCAGGCCGATCCGATCCGGTTCATTCTGCACTAAGTTACTTCTGGGCTTAGATCCGATTCCCTGGGTCGTCCGTCGGCTCTCAGTCTCCATCACCCCTGCCCTCTCATTGCGTTTGAAGCTGCGTTTCACCATTGCACACGGGATTATCATTTTCATCTCGTTATCCTACCCAAAGCGTACAGGTTTGTTTATCTCCCTCCCTCTCTCTCTACTTCTCGTTTTCGTGACGTTTGATCTGTCTGCGATGCGAATTTGGCGGAAGCGTACTTCATATTTTGTTCGTATTTTGGCGGTGGCATTAGATTAGGTTATGGAGGGAAGTGGTCTGTGTGATCGATTTGTCTTCAGAGTGTAATATGGGCGTTTTCCCTGTTTCTGGCTGTGACGTTGCTTGGGATACTCACAAGGCATCTGGTTATTTTTGGATTTGCTGAAGCATTTATTGATGTTCATTTCGTGACTTCCTTGTTTGTTTGATCATCTCCGCAGCTTTGCGCGCATTTGAAGCCCTGCTGATCCCCCCTGATTCAGAAGCCCTTCTTTGGATCCGGGCATTGAAGTAGTTGTGGTGGAGCTTTTTTTATTTTGTATTTTTATCCTCCTATTGGCTCAATACTCAGCAAAATCATCACTTTAATGGCCGTGGGATGACTGAGCTCTGGAATCAAATATTTTGTGCACTAGATTCTGCAAACATCTGGTGAGTGTCAAGGAAGATTGGGAGGAAACATGAAGGCAATAACTGCTCGACCTGAGATCTGGGACCACATTAAACATGGTTATGTGCCACTGTTCTGGGCTGTTGATCGTTGTTGATGGTAGTTGGCCCTGCTCTATGTGAGCCACCAATGCAGATGAAGAACTTTTTATGAGTCCTGATAAGCCACTGCTTTCAGAATCAGATTGCTCTTTGGGGATTCATCGCCGTTATCCGAAATCAGGATCCTTCAGCCGCTATGTCTCCTTCCCATCTACCATTTTTGATGAAACTCAAAGTGGTAGTTTTGATGTGAAGGACATAGACTTTGTATCTGCTGGCGAGTCTAGTTTTCGTAGTGCACTTGAACCTTGCACTTCTGTGACAGAAAAGGACTCTCAATCAGCTGAATCTGAGTTTTGCCAGCAGCTGCCTCTGGAATGCTCCACTCGGGAGAGGAGGCGCCTGACATCGTGGGGTGCAATGGAACAGCATGATATGAATAGCAATACAGTGCCATTTGAAATATCAGGTGCTCCATCTCGAGTGCAGGAAAAGAATAAATCACAGAGAATTCGTCACAAAAGTGTTCAATTTGAAGATAACCTCTTACATGATGACAATTCGAGGTCAATATACATCAATGATCCCAAGAAGACAAATGACAAGTATGAGTTCACGGGGAATGAGATCCGAACTAGTAGATACACAATTATCACCTTCCTCCCTAAGAATCTTTTCATTCAGTTTCATCGGGTTGCTTACTTGTATTTCCTTGCTATTGCGGCGCTAAATCAGCTCCCTCCGCTGGCTGTGTTTGGTAGGACCGTGTCTCTATTTCCCCTCTTGTTTGTTCTGTGTGTCACAGCTATTAAGGATGGTTATGAGGACTGGCGGAGGCACAGGTCGGACCGCAATGAGAACAACCGGGAGTCTCTGGTACTTCAATCTGATGATTTCCGACCAAAAAAATGGAAGAATATTGAAGTTGGTGAGGTTGTTAAAATCTTAGCTGATGAGACTATACCTGTTGACATGGTCTTATTGGGGACAAGTGATCAAAGTGGGCTTGCCTATATTCAGACAATGAATTTGGATGGTGAATCAAATTTGAAGACGAGGTATGCTCGGCAGGAAATGGCTTCAGTAGTATCACCAGATTGTTGCGCTGTTTCTGGGATCATTAGATGTGAGCAACCAAACAGGAACATTTATGAATTCACAGCCAACATGGAGTTCAATGGGCATAGGTTTCCCCTTAGCCAATCAAATATTGTTCTGCGTGGTTGCCAACTGAAGAACACAGACTGGATAATCGGTGTTGTTGTTTATGCTGGGCAGGAAACAAAGGCAATGTTGAACAGTGCAGCTTCCCCTTCGAAGAGAAGCAGACTGGAGGGTTATATGAACAGAGAAACCCTTTGGTTGTCAATTTTTCTCTTTACCATGTGTTTGGTTGTGGCTGTTGGGATGGGCCTGTGGCTGATGCGTCATAAGGACCAGCTTGACACCTTGCCATACTACAGAAAAAGATTCTTCACAAAGGGCCCTGATAATGGGAAAAGATATAGATATTATGGGATACCAATGGAAATCTTTTTCTCATTTTTGAGCTCGATTATAGTTTTCCAGATAATGATACCCATATCTCTTTACATAACCATGGAGCTGGTTCGTTTGGGCCAGTCATATTTCATGATTGAGGACAGGGATATGTATGATGCCAACTCCGGATCAAGGTTTCAGTGTAGGTCATTAAATATCAATGAAGATTTGGGTCAAATACGTTATGTTTTTTCAGACAAGACAGGAACACTTACCGAAAATAAGATGGAATTTCGAAGAGCCAGTATACATGGAAGGAATTATGGGAGCTCATTACTTATGGGTGATAATACAATAGGTATTTAGTTTCCTTCAAGATAATTGCGAAATTCTAGACTGCTTGGGAATGTGGTATCATGCCAATATCTCTTGTTAAGATACTAAGCTGTCCAATCTTTTCTCCATTTTTTATGGTACTACTACTAAGATAATAAAAATAATTGGATTTCTTGTGGAACTTTTAGCTATGCACCTGATTTCACTTTGACAACAAAATGGTTGGTCAATAAATAATAGATTATCGCATCCCAGTATCATCATACTCTCTTAGATTGTTATATTCAACTCATTTGCTCTAGAGCTAAACCTGGAACTGGCCCTTTGATTATGCTGTGCCCTGCAAGGCTTTGTAGTTATTCCATTAGGCAACGACAACAACAAGCCTTATGAGAAAATATATGGATAAATGATCTATCTAATGGTTTTTCCCCCCTTCTCCCACAGTTCTCGCTTGATTATTCTCAGATTTTCTATTATAAACTTAATGTTTCGGTGAAGTGTCTTTATTTGAGTCCCAAGGTGGTCAAATTAGTTCATAGCGATGCTTATCGGATGTCTTGCTTTAAGCTTGTGAATTGGCGTATTTTCTGGTGCATGTTTATGACATGACTGCTCTGTGTTCTTTCACAACAGCAGCAGCAGCAGCGTTTTGTGGCAGAGGGAGGTGGAAGCTTAAATCTGAAATTGCTGTTGATTCAGAACTCACAACACTGTTGCATACAGATTCAGATAGAGATGAAAGGATTGCTGCACATGAATTTTTCCTTACATTGGCTGCTTGTAATACTGTGATCCCCATGCTTAGTCGTGGAACAAGTGAGTCAAATGAGGGTGTAGAATGTATTGAATACCAGGGAGAATCTCCTGATGAACAAGCTTTAGTTGCTGCAGCCTCTGCTTATGGATATACACTTTTTGAGCGGACATCAGGACATATTGTTATTGATGTCAACGGTGAGAGGCTCAGGTAGATATGGAATTCCAATTGTCAAGAGATTACAATCCCCCTGGTTTTATTTAGAATCTTGGACTTGCAAAACCCAGGATTTTCATTTTTTGCTTTTTTGTGCTAATTTGTTTTTGTAATTTGTCTATGGTTTCTGTTGTTCAGTAATTTAATTATTTTTATGCAATACAGGTTGGATGTTTTGGGTCTGCACGAGTTTGATAGTGTTCGGAAAAGAATGTCTGTTGTTATTCGATTTCCTGACAATACGGTAAAGGTGTTAGTTAAAGGAGCTGACACTTCAATGTTTAGCATCTTGGCTGATGAAATTGACAACGGTGATAGCATACGGCATGCAACTCAGGTTCATTTAAATGAATATTGTTTGCAAGGTTTGCGCACACTTGTAGTTGCTTCCAGGAATCTCTCAGATGCAGAACTTGAGCAGTGGCAGAGCATGTATGAAGAAGCAAGCACTTCATTAACTGATAGAGGTGCAAAACTACGCCAAACAGCAGCTTTAATAGAATGCAACTTAAAGCTACTTGGAGCAACTGGGATTGAGGACAAGCTGCAAGAGGGTGTACCAGAAACAATTGAGTCCTTGCGACAAGCTGGAATCAAGGTCTGGGTTCTTACTGGTGATAAGCAAGAGACAGCAATTTCAATTGGTCTCTCCTGCAAACTTTTGACTCCAGATATGGAGATGATAATTATAAATGGCACATCGGAAAATGAATGCAGAAATCTTTTGGCTGATGCAAAAGCCAAATTTGGTATAAGATCTGTATGTAACAGAAACCAGAATATGAGGCACAAAACCAATGATGGACGTGGTGATCTTGAGATGGCCGATAATACAAAGTCTTTAAATATGCCTAGATGTGATCCAAGGGAAGATGCTCCACTGGCACTTGTAATTGATGGAAACAGTTTGGTTTACATCTTGGAGAAGGAACTGGAGTCAGAGGCAAGATTATTTCTCTTCATTTGAAGTTTCGTTTGGAATGTTTTTGTGCATTGGACTACTAAAGCTTGATTTTAGATCAGAGTTGTAGATGCATGTGCAGTTTTTTTACATGTTGGAGCTGTACCATTCAACTTATCAGTAAATATTTACTATTCTTTCCATGTCGGCAGCTTTTCGACCTTGCAACTTCTTGTAGAGTTGTGCTATGCTGTCGTGTTGCACCCCTGCAGAAGGCAGGAATTGTTGATTTGATAAAGAGCCGCACTGTTGATATGACACTGGCTATTGGTGATGGTAAGTTCTTCATGATTATGACCCTGGGGATGCTATAACTTACATTTTGCTTTTATTCAGGTTTTGTTTGATAAATTGATGTTTATGTGTTTGATATATTGATGTTTACACTCCCTTGCTTCTTAGATGTCATTATATTTCTAAAAGATATTATGTTCTTTAAAATTTCCATGTCTGGCGTCATAGTGGAAAATTGTCCTAAGAAAGAATGGACTCGACAATTTCTGCAAGCTTGCAAAATTTTTCAGTTGTTGATGTGACATGCCTTTTGCTATTGGGTTGTATAAAATACAACTATGCCAATTGGCATTTTTGGTTCTACTGTAAATAGGCCTTATATGCCGAAGTGATTAAGATTGATTGTGGTAAGCTAGTGTGACTAGATGAACTTATAAAACAAGACTTAATTCAGTTTGACATTATAACCCTTCCCATTTCTTTCAGGTGCCAATGATGTGTCAATGATCCAAATGGCAGATGTTGGTGTTGGAATATGTGGGCAGGAAGGTCGTCAAGCAGTGATGGCATCTGATTTTGCTATGGGACAGTTTCAGTTCTTGAAAAGATTGCTTCTGGTTCATGGACACTGGAATTATCAGCGTGTTGGCTATTTAGTTCTCTACAATTTCTACCGCAATGCTGTCTTTGTCTTGATGCTATTCTGGTATGTATAGTTTCCATTGTATATTACAAACTGGAGGCCTCTGTGTTCTATTTGGTGTTCTGAGAATTAAGTTGGCACTTTAGTCCAGTAGAACTGGCAAAACCTGTCTAGAGAAACTGTTAGCTACAGACGACTTTACCGGACAAGGCAAAAAGCCTTTTTTTTTTTGGAAGACCGGTTCTGTATAAATTTTGAACTGGTAAACCTAGACATGGCAGCTTATGAGTTTTCTTATTTACTAAAAGAAATTTCATGAATAAGGGATGATGCTGGGGTTTGAACTCTGTAACAACTGTTGAATGGCAAGTAGGCCAAGCAAAAGGTTGTTTAACCTTTAATTTAATGCATACACTTACGAATGTATGGATTATATGCTTACAAATATCTTTACCAATAATAAGGTATGGTCATATATTTTTGATAAGAGCATCTTCAAAATTCTGTTATTAAGGAAAGATTTAATGAAATAAATGTGTAAATTATCATCCGATATTTAACACCATTTTAAATATTATACTTGAAAGTTTTTAATCTTTTTAAAAATGTTATTTGTTCCCGAAATCTATGAACTGTTAAGCAACACATTTGTGTTGCTACAAAGACATATGTAGCCTGTTGGATATATGGGAAAATTCAAATTTTGTGTTTGATATGACAACCACGTCATGGATGCTATTTCGTTATCTAATTGGAGATAAGTATATTGTCAAGATGTTCACTTACGGCCAGTTATTTCTTTTAATTCATTCATTTGGGTATAATTGTTAATTACAAAACTATGAATTTTTGTTACCTATGTCTGTTAGATACGCTTGGACGTGTTGGCATAACTAATCGACAATGTCTTTTTCCTTAGTGGATGTTAAATTGTAGTGCCACGATGCCATTATCTCAGAAAATCTTATCTTCATTTTCCTCTACATACTATCCTTGTTGAAACTTGTATGCAGGTTGTAACAAATTTTTGGCCTCAAAATTGGATTAGATTCTTCAGTGTATAGGCTATCCTTTAGTAATAGTAGCTTTGACAAGGCTTCATTGATTCTAATTTTTTTGGTTTCATTTGTCTGTAGGTATATATTATGCACTGCTTTTTCAACAACTTCTGCATTGACCGATTGGAGCAGTGTATTCTATTCTGTGATATACACATCAGTCCCTACTATTGTTGTTGGTATTCTGGACAAAGACTTGAGTCACAAGACACTCCTGCAGTATCCTAAACTGTATGGTGCAGGTCACCGGCATGAGGCTTACAATATGCATTTGTTTTGGATCACAATGATGGACACTCTATGGCAGAGTCTTGTTCTCTTCTACGTACCCTTGTTCACCTATAAGGATAGCACAATTGATATATGGAGCATGGGCAGCTTGTGGACAATTGCAGTTGTCGTCCTTGTAAATGTACATTTGGCTATGGACATTAAACATTGGGTATTAATTACACACGTTGCTGTTTGGGGATCGATAATCATCACATTTGGTTGCATGGTGGTATTGGATTCTTTTCCTGTCCTTCCAAACTACTGGTGAGTTACATTTATGTCAGCCAATATGTACTCTGCGTTATTGTCTTTGAAGTAATTCCAAGTAGATAACTAATATTCCCTAAACTATTGCAGGACTTTTTATCATGTGGCCAAGTCTCCTACATATTGGATCACAATTTTGCTCATAATTATTGTGGCAATGCTCCCTCGATTTGTCTTTAAAGTTGTTTATCAAGTATTTTGGCCCTCTGAGATCCAGATAGCAAGAGAAGCCGAGATAATAACAAGACATCGTGATCATCTGAGGCCAAGTCAAGACGTTTCTAGCTAACTTGTGTTTGTCTTCCAGAAACTAGTGAGATCTTGATCGATTGGCATCCCTTGTATTTGACCATCACATTGCTTTCTTGTGGCTGTTGGTTGTAAAAGTCATCTGGTAAGGGCGTCATTTTCATTTATTTATTTATGATTTATGATTTTACTTTTACATCTGTTTTTTCCATTTGGTTACTTGAATTGCTTTCCTTGGACTAAATTGTGGTATAAAGCTAAAAAGAACTTCCATAATTGTTATTTGGATGAGGCTTGTGTGGCATACTGTATAGAATAAGGCCTGATAGGATAATAGGGGTGATGAAGTTTTAATGCCATGCCATGTTTGGTATCGCATTGTATAACATAATGTATTGTATAAATTAATATCCTCTGCTTTCTGATGTGATATATATGATACAGTAGAAGATAAAAAGAGTTTTTGACAAAGATACCCTTTATGTAAAATTCAAATAAATTCATTTAGAACTGCTACACTACATTTGTTTTTAGAACCTAGTAGGATAAGGCTTATTGCTGGTACAATAATGGTGGTGGCTGGTGGGGATGGTTGTGATGACTAGTGATGATTGCAATCATTGACTGTAAGATTGTGATGGCTAGTTATGATGGTGGTGATGACCAGTGACGATGGGGGTTGGTGGTGGTGGTGGTGGTGGTGGTAGTGGTGGTGGTGGTGGTGGTGAAGACCAGTGACAGTGGTGATGGCGGTGGTGACAGTGAGGTTTGGTGACAAAGAAGGCTGGCGATAGTGGTGGCCACTGGTTGCAGCGGCAGTGGTGGTTAGTGATGCTGATGGTAGTGTTGGTTGTTAGCAACTATAGTGATGATGATCAGTGGCGGCGGCCAGTGATGGTGGTGATGGCTAGTGGTGGCAGCGACATTTGATACAAACTTATATTTAATACATTACACGTACCAAACAAATGATAAGCCCTTAATGTATTGTATTAGCTTATACTATCATGCTTTGTCCGTCCTGCCAAACGGACTTTAAATGTGTAGAAAATGTCAGATTGGTATCGGGGATTTTTTAGGGTCTATGACATGGCTGCCTTTGCATTGGTAGTTTTATTGCCATTAATCATGTTGGACTTGGATGTTGTGGTCCTGAATATTAATCAGCTAATAGAAATTCAAGAGGCACTACTACGTTTCGTTGTTGCAGTTGAACTACACAATTAAAACATGAGATTAAGCTTGTTGCATAAGTCTTTTCTTTTGAACAAACTGTGTAAGATATTAATTGTGTGCTTCCACTCTCATTTTTATTTTTCTACTTGATAATGGGCATAGAGTAAACCTAAGGAGAAAAAGGAAAGAAAAATGTTGGGTGATGGAGGTGTTTAATGGAGTTGAGCCTGAGGGCTCAGTATAGAAGAAAGCGAAGACAAAATAGAAAGTTCAATTGTCATCAAGATTATTTTAATTTCATTAATTACGTTCACCTGTTATTTTACATAAAAATGTTTGAAAATTCAATTAAATAGGGCTTCCTTTTGGTAGTTTTTGAAACAAGATGTGAATATTTAGGGTTCAAATAAATGATCATATGGGGAGAGAGCTAGCCTCTTCTGGTTTTATTGCAGTTAAAAGTGGGTCTGTAGTTGTGAATTTATAACATGTTATCACGAACTAATAAATCGGTATGCTTATCACAAACTAATAGTTTTGTCCACCGAGTTGACTGTCAATCTAGTAGTTTCGTCCACCATATTAGATTGTTGTGACATGTCAGGATCTGTTTGTGATGTGATCTCTTGTGGATTTGATTCTCAGATGAGCAGCAGTGGCAGAGTGGATTGATGTGAGACAAATGGCCAAAGCCCCTTTCGTGGTTAAACCAAGAATGTAATGTGGTGCTGTGATGGATGGGGATCACAGGCAAGTCATGAAGTTAATCTTATGGTTGTTTCAAATGCCTTTCGGTCTTTGGAGTCTCGGTGAGGGGGAGAGTGAGAGAGAAGGATGTGTTAGGGCAAGGGGATGAACAGAGAGAAGTATGAAGCAGGGGGGTCCCCCAAGGGGAGGTTGGGAGACACTTTACGTTACTAAAAGTGTATATTAGTGGTGTAAAAAGTCAGGTGCTTTCTTTCAAAGGAAATTTGTCTTTTCTTTCTTTTTTTTTGTTTTCTACAAAAAAAGGAAAGGTTGAAATGAAAGAAGGGTATATTTAGATTTAGTCATCTGCCTTTGATGATCTGATCTGGATTCGATCGCACCTTAGCCATTTCCCTTTTAAGATGAAAGGCCATTCACAATCGATGCTATGTTTATATCTCCAAAAAAGTACCTGGGAGGGAGCATAATACATGACAGTGGATAGGTTAAAGGGGAAATCACTATGGTCTGAGAGTAAAAAAATTGCAATTACCAAATGAGTTTCATAAGAAGTGGGTGATAACTTACAGGGCCACAAGAAGAAATGACGAGAAGGATCATGTTGTTGACTTGGCATTGAGATTTTTAGTGTGTTTATATGCCCTTGTTGGAAGTTTACAGTGATTTTCCCTACTTCGAATGCCATGCTTGGTTTTAGTGCAAGACATAACAAAATAAGAATATATGTTAAATAAGCTTTTATAAAAATGATATTTTCATATTGTAATTATAAATCATGTATTTATATTATTGAATAAGAATTATTAGAAAATCAACAAATTGATATTTACATAATAAATATATTTTTTAATACGTATTTATTAAAAAAATAATTTTTTTCCTAGATTTTTTATGAGCTGAAAAATGCATTTAATTGCAAATTGGTTTGGAATTTAATCCATGTTATTTTCGACTCAATAAAGTGGCTTACTGACACGTTTGAATAGATTTCTTTTTTTATTTTTGGGGGCCAAATTGGAAATAGATTTCCATTGTATAATTACTGTTTATCATGCCATGCGCGGGGTCCAAAATAAGTCAACCATTTAGTTTATTACCTACTTCCGCGTACTGTTTTTTTTATAATCCTTTTTTTAATTAAAAAAATTAATACACAAATTAAGAAATGCAATTATTATGGGAGATCTTATAAAAGCGTGTTTAGTTTCCTTGATCCAAGCAAACTAATATCAAGACTTTGCACAAACATTTGAAAAACAAAACGCGGCATGTTCTACCCTGAAGAAGTCGTTTTTAAAAAAATAAAATAAAATAAAGAAACACATAGCTTTCAGCGATATTCATGCACTTACACCTTCATTGAATTAACAAACATATCTTTTTTTCGTGGATAAAAACAAGCATAGTGACTTAAGATTCGATAATTAAAGTAGCACTAATGCATTTTGCGCACATGCTTCATGTACTCGTTACAGTAATATTTTCTATTGCTTTCAACTATGTGATGCATCTTATTGACTATTTGGACAATCAACAATGGCAACTCATCATCACAGGCCCTAGAGATTTTTCTGGCTTTATTATTTATACCTGTTATTAGTGTAAAACAGAAACCAGGTTAATTATTTTTAATTTGAAATTTTTTTCTTGATATGATTGTCTAACTAGGTTATATTCAAGTATTGTTAGGTCTAATTGAAAGTAGTTCCTCCAAAGAGATTTTTTATATTCGAATCGAACTTGAGACGTGATGTTAAAGCAGCTAAAGCTCATTTTATTAAGACCAATACCTGCTAGTATTTTATTTTACATGCTTGATAGATTTTCAGAAGGGAGATATTTGTTTCTTTTAAAATTTGGAATACACAATAGTGATACTAACTCCGGATCTTAATATAAGAGTTAGTAAAGAGATTGAATTTAATTATAAGACCTCAATTAACTTCTTCCAAATCTATAATGTTTTAATCTAAAATACTCCTTTTTTTTAGTGAGTCTAAAATACTCTTATTTATTGAAAGGGGTTGCCACTAAAAAATATTTCCAATGCACATAATTAAATATAGCAGTTTAGAAAGATCAATACATTTGTTATAATTAATTAACTTAATTAATTTTTTTATTAGTTATCTAATTTTTATATTAACCAAAAAAGAGGTTACATATAATATTGCAAAGTCTACAACTATAATTTTGACATCTTTGTAACAGAAACGCGGGATTAGATTCTGCACCAAATAAAAGTAAGCCTTGGTACCAAGCATTTTCTATTAATTATTAATCATGTAAATCCCCCTCATAGCTTCACTGACTGCAAATTTATCTTTGACTGGTTTAATAACAAACATCGATTTGTTTTATTTACAACTATTTAAAGGAAATAAAATTCCTAAATTAATTTTATATTTTGTTTTGGATTCGACGTTCTAGAATCTTTTCAATCTAGGCTCCTAAGAAAATAATGATTGTTGCATACTATGTTGACACTTTACACTTGTCATCTCTGTGAGAATATAGGATGACGCTTTCTTAATTTGAGAAAATACACGAAAATACCCTCCAAATACACATTTTAATTTTTTGTTGACCCAAAATAACCTAATTATTGCGAAGCTTATAGAGATTAATTTGGAATCAAAATGTTATAACAAAATTATTTAAACGCCTTTAATTTGAAATCTCTAAAAAATGAAAAAAAAAATGAAATGACACTTTTGTTTTAGTAAGTAACAACTTTTTTCCGATAAGAAATAGGTAACAACTTTAACTTAGGACAACAACAACGAAAATAATAACAATTGATTTACCAATAATTTTATTTAGAACAATTAGGCTGCAACAACAACAACACTTTATCTTATCAGGTGGGGTTGGCTACATAGATAGCATGATGTTAATAACATCTATCAACGATCAAATTTTTGGATAAAGTGTTACTAGAAAGATTTCACTCAATAATTTTAATGATTGTTCTCTTTTTTTTTTCTATTTTTTTTAAAAGACTCCATACTATTTGATCAACATTTTTAGTAGCGTATTTAAGACGTTTTTTAAATATGGTCAAACCATCTTAAATGATTCTCTATTATTTTCTCTTTAATGGAAGCCATTCCAACTTTTCTATATCTTGATTTAGAACAATTAGTTACTTTAAATAAATAATTCTAGAACAATTTTAAGACTTGGAATGAAGTCATTTTTAGAAATAATTTTTTAATTGCATTCCTTCCTTTTTGATGTTTGAAAAGATTAATTAGAAGTTCACGCGCAAATTTTGTTGGGGAAATTTCAAGTACATATATTGATATTTATTTTTGACCAGCAAGTACGCATATTGATAACAAATTACGAGAATAATAATTCTAAAACAAACAATCGATGAGGCCTTTCCAATGTTTTTTTTAATGCAACAAAATACGTTGATGTCCAGCCAATGCCGATGTGCCACGTTCTTGCATCTCATTGGCTAACACGTCACTAATGACATAATCGTAGTGACGTCATTCTCCTTCATACCACCCCAATACCTCCCTCCTTCCCGGGCACGCAACCCACGATCCACTCCCTTGGGAAATCCTAACCCTTGGTGCCTACACGCACGTGAAAGCACGTGTAACTTTAAGAATTAATCTCCCGGGGAATTTTCCTATGGTCTTCCTCCGTGTTTCCGCCCATATGCCCAATTAATTAAATTTTAAAAAAATATATAATAAAATAAAAGAACCATCCAAAATTGGGTAGGCCTGGTCGCTGCCCGCCAGAATGCCTCCTTATATTCTCCCTCTCCTTCTCTTTATCTTCTTCTCCAAACCCAACTCCTCTCTCTCTCTCTCTCTATCTCACACTTCCCCTAAGTACTTTCTCATCTTCTTCTTCTTCACTACACAGTACTTCAGTCTCACCTTATACAAAGGTTTTGTTTTTGTATTATGAGTGGTTTAGTTATGGAGAATCTGGCAATGAAGGAGCTAGAGAGAGGGCGTGAACTTGCTAACCAGCTTCGACGACTGATCTTTAGGTCTGAGGATGGAGAAGATGATCATAACACTAAGGGCTTAACGACGTCGTCTGCTGAGGATCTTGCTGCGAAAGTGCTGGATTCTTTCGCCAACACACTCTCTCTCTTCAACTCAAATCGCCATGTTTCTGCAGATCCCTCCTTGTCTTCCTTCTGTCCCTTGCCTGCTCACTCTGGTGACTCTCAGGAGAGCTCTAAGACCAGAAGCACCTCCACCACCATTAAAGATCCAACAAGATGCACTCCCAAGAAAAGGTACTCTCTCTCTCTCTCTCTGTGTGTGTATATATGTATATATGAACCAGAACCATATATACTTCATCCCTTTCTCTCTCTCTGATCAACTTCCCCGCTCCTTTGATCCATTTCTTAGATTTTATATCGATCTTTTATAACTGATTGACTTTCAAGTCTTAGATTATTTGTTGGTATATATCTAGGTGTGTTACTTTATACTCCATATATATGTGTGTGTTGTCGGTATCGGGGTATATATAAGTTTTAATATTGGAGTTCATGCATGTTACCGCACAGAATAATAATTAAGGAGCTAATTAATTAAGCTAATTAATCACTCAAGTTGCTAATAATTAATGAATTTGTTTTTTTTTTTTCTGTTGCAGGAAAAGTAGTGCCCAGACATGGGAGGAGGACACCAAAATGGGTCCAAAGGAAGATGGGCATGCGTGGAGGAAATATGGCCAAAAAACAATACTCGATTCTAAACACCCCAGGTTTCCATCTAAACTTCAAGCTACATACAAATCACCCTCCTATAACTTCTGCTTTTATCTGTAAAATAATGACCAAACTGATAATAAAGAATTGTTAAGCACAAAGCTCTTAAATTTCATGATACCCACAAGCCTTATTTATACTTTTTGTTACACGCATATGACTCTGATCTCAAAAGAGTCATCTTCATTAATATATATGAACTTCAGGATATGTATTATATAGTTTCCCCCCCTTAATATCACAACCTTTCAAAGTTTTCCAGATAAGGAAAGCTATTTGTGTATAGGTTATATATGATTTAATCTTTCCTTTCTTACTAATTAATAAATTTTCTTTCCATATTAATTCTCCCACTGCTCTCAACATGCACTAATAAATTTTTTAAAAAAATATGATTAATTAAATGCAGGAACTACTTCAGATGCACTCACAAGTATGACCAAGGATGTGAAGCAGCAACAAAACAAGTTCAGAAAATCCAAGACGATCCTCCTCTTTACAGAACCACCTATTTCGGCCACCATACTTGCACCAACCTCCATAATCCTCAGGCCTTTCTTGATTCCCATGATGACCTTAATTCA